CTGCTTGACGAGCCTATATTGTGTATGTATGTGACGTCACTGAAGGCCTAAGGTTGAAATGCACGGCCCGCCACTGCTAAGCATATATTAATACATTTTGGTAGAGAGGAATATAGGCCTACTGTCATATAGGTTATGTTATCGGGCATCCTTCTAATTCCCTTGAACAACCAAGATTGAACTTTTGAACTCTTTATAATTTCTATTATCTAGTCCAGTTAAAGTCCAGGGGAGGAAGCCCCATCATAGTAAAGAGGATACTAATGTGATGTGTGTAGTTCTTCATAGCCTCTTCATTTTGCTCTCAAAGTGCACGGAATTGATGGATTTTTAACAGAATGTAGAAAAAATTTCTCCCGGGGGGGCATGCCCCCGGACCCCCCTAAAGGGGCTGTGGTCCCCTTGGGGCTAAGCCCCCCTTGTTCTTGAAACCTAGTGACGCCCCTGTCCGAGCTCATTGAGGATGGACTAATTGCAAAGTGGAAAAACGTTCTTTGGTCTGACGAGTCCACATTTACAATTAAAATGTATCGTTTCAATCACGTTTCATATCTTGTCATCCAAGTAAAAAGCCATCGCGGCATCTACAAGTCGTGAAATCCGTTCATCCATTGTAAGCAATAGCCTTCTTCCTCTTCAGGAGAGATCTTTTAAAACGGCAAATTTAGAACATTCCCTAATAATCATAAGATCGCATTTACTTTTGTTCCTGTGCAGACCAGAGGCTTTGTCCAAGTCTTTATCAACTTTTTTTCCAACAATCTTTATTTAAGTGAAATTACAAATCACAGAAAATTAAACGAACAAATTATTAATACATACACAGTATAAGGAGAGATAAACAAAAAGAAGAGCCAGATCCAGAGGCTTTGTCCAAGTCTTTATCAACTTTTTTTTCCAACAATCTTTATTTAAGTCAAATTACAAATCACAGAAAATTAAACGAACAAGTTATTAATACATACACAGTATAAAGAGAGATAAACAAAAAGAAGAGCCAGAGGATTTCAAACGAAAATTCCAAATAAAGAGCATAAAGTCAGAGTTTTAATTGCTTTCTCGTTTTTGGAAACCATAATAGAATTCAAATATTGCTTGGATTCTGCTTCAAAAATTAAGAAAAGAGGTTTTGAGCGACTACATCTAGAATTGTGGATATAGAACTTAGCGAGAATGATTATTAAATTTATAATGAAGACCGTTTAAATGGGAGGGCAAATTTCCTGACGCCTCTGACGCTCGGTGACGTCTCCACCTCGGAGGCGGAACTTAAGAGAGTATATTTTTGTTTCCCTCCAGGTGCCAGACGGGACTGCACACACAGTCGGACGCCGCAGAGGCAGGAAGAGGCATCATGAATCCGCTGTCTGTTTTGGTTCCGCTTCTCAAACTTTACTACTGTGGAATCAGAGTTCTCATCTACCAGATGTTCCACAGATCTTTTACCCTACCAGGTTGGTTCGGTGATTATTATTTATTATTTTCACCGGCTCGTTTAAAAATTAAAATAGATTTTAGCTTTGATTTGCAGAATATTACACAATAGTAGTAGTAAGAATAAATGGTGTTCATGATATTTTTTTGTGTTTCAAACTTTAAAGTGAATGAGAAATATTTTATTTTATTTTGGATTACTGTGACCTTTTTTCCCCGTTGCTGTATGATGATAAGACAGAGATGACAAAACTACTCATCTCTGTTCTTACAGATAGTTGTGTAAAAAAGACTGGCAGAAGTACAAGTATGATTCACTCTTTTACTTAAGCACAAGAAAAGTTCAATCTTTGAAATCTAATAAGTACAAAAGCAAACATTTGTTTTTCTGCTATAATTATACATTTATATGGTACCTGCTTTGATAATTTAGCACCAGGAAAAAATTACTTCTCCACACAAAATCGTTTTTAATTTTAATTATTAATTTGCCTTTAATCCCTCTAAGGGAAATTCATCTTACACTCTGCTTTGTATATTTTGTAATGCACATCTCACAAACCATCTCACATGCATGCATGCAAGGAGTGTATCTTTTTTTTAACTTTTAAAAATAAGGACCTAGAGGGGAAAAGGCTCAATCTAGTTCATTTTATTTTAAAATATATTACTTAACCTTAAATAACAGGTCAACAAACAATGAAAAAGTAAAATTAACTGATCATTGAAACATGTAAATTTTAAATGTAATGTTCTTCGTAGGGCTGGGTGAATCACAAATGAACTTATTTCCTAACAGTCTATCAATAATTTGTTTTTTTACCTATTTAAAGTAAGAAAAACAGATCAATTGATTTAAGATAAAATTAAAAACAAGTAAATTGATGACAGATAAATAAATAAATACACAACCGCCAAGACGAAAAATACCATTCAAAATATATGGTCGTATCACATTTTTGTGTTCTAAACTTCCTCTCAAGTGCTGGTAATATTGTCACAAACCAAACATCAGACTGTAGCCTCTGCCGACAGAATGCGGAATGACAGGGTTGGGGTTAGCTTGCTTCCCGATTTTTAAAAAAATAAATATTATATTGAGTGCAATTTACATTGCAATAGATCAAATGTCTATCGTAATTGATATTGAGTTGCTGCCCAGCTCTAGCCGCATGCATGCAGATATCTGTTTCCATGCATTTTTTTTCTTTATGTTACAGTGAAACATAGCCAAACCGTACCACTACAGAACAAAAAAATCTGAATTGTGTCACTTGAATGATGCTGTGCAAATCTAGCTCCTGCGGATCTGTAAAAAAGTGTTCAAAGGCTTTGAATCTATGAATCTAATGACAAGGCCTCAATGGGCATTAAAATGTCTTATATTTTACAATTTATGTTTACATATACACTATACTTTTTGTTCTTCTACTTCTCCCTTTCATAATTTTTGCTGCTGTAAATTGGGAATTTCTCCATTGTGAGACAAATAAAGGTTTTCTTATCTTATCTTAAATCAATCTTTTTTTAAGAACTAACGCGATCAGCACAATTTTATGATTCTAAATACTCTAAAATCTAAAAAAAAATAATAATGCTAGCAGAACCAACAAAACTTGAATATCACCTTGGACTGATGAACTGTCAAATGCATCACTGACACAGAGAGACAGAACATTTACGCACTCATTCACACACTGCATGCAGCTAAAGAGAAGTCGATACTCGAAATGGGTTTGTCTTTTACGCAATCAGTCCTAATTAGTTTGTTCTTTACACAATCTGATTCTTTGGGAGAGGTCAGATTAGCGAAGTGGTGGAAGAAAAAAAAAAAGACCAAAAAATAGTGTGGTGTTGAATGTGAGTGTCACAAGGGAGGGCTTTATGCACTAGGGATTTAGTGCGCATAATCTGTACAACAATGCTACTTATTTAAATACTTGCACGGGGTTAATCTCAAAGCATGAAAAACAGGTCAAGATTAACTACGGACCAACTTTCACACTGTTTTTTTTTTTTTTTTTTTTTTTTTTTGGTGCCGCTTAACCCAATTGGCGTCGCAGTTATGCTGTAGTCTGTCCCGTCTGACTTTGCATAAGAGACAAAGAACCATTC